AACTCAAATGATCAACCCTACCTTTCTCAGCAATGATTTATTTTTCCCAATTACATATCTTTTTCTTTTAGACAAGCTCTCTATTCGTAACCCAGGTTGACCTTGAACTCAACATCTCCGATCATCATATGAGCCTCATGGCAGCATATAGATTAATAGAAATGAGTGTATATAAGTTGTAAGAGCTAGTTAATAGCAAGCCTAAGCTATAGGCTGATCATTTTTAATTAATAATACCACCTGACAAGAAAATAATATTGAACTCACCAATGCTTGTGATTTTAAAATTGTGGACTAAATAAATATAAACAAGTTTATCAGTAGGAACTTGTAACACCCAATTCTGTGTTACCCCCTCAGTACAGTTCGCACACCACTGTACCGTACGCGAGTTGGGCAACGGCCTGGAGATTGAAAGAACACACAAGAGACCTGGGTCATTCGAAAGGAAATCAGCCGAATGCCGTTTATTCAGCTTTGGGGAAATCTTTATATACCTAGCTGCTGCACAAGGATTTCTGTGTAGGCAGGTGGGAAATTACCATACCAAAGATGAAACAATGCCCTACAGCTAATCACCAGGCGAGGCAGAGGGAGCACAGGAACAAACAGGATTTTTGCTGACAGACCCAGAAACTGTCCTCAAGATACACCCCAGGAGCAAGGGTAGACCCAGGTCCTACAGGAGCTGGTGAGATTGCTCAGTGGTTAAGTATTGTACTTTGGCAGAGGAGCTGGATTTGGTTCCCAGCACCCATGTGGGAATCTAATATCGTCTCTGGTCTCTGCGGATACTGGCCATGTATATAGTGCACACACATATACGCAAGCACAACATGCATACACAAAAAACTTTTTTTTTCAGCCAGATGTGATAGCTCACATCTTTAATCCAAATCCTCAGAAGGCAAAGGCAAGTATCTCTGTGTGAGTTGGAGACCAGAATGTGGTGATATTTTGTTCATGCTGTAACAAACAAAACTTACCTGAATATCAGAGTGTGGAGCTAGCCACACTAGTTAGCCATAGAGGCCAGACAGTGGTGGCACACACCTTTAATCCCAGCATTCAGGAGACAGAGGCAGACAGATCTCTGTGAGTTCAAGGGCACCCTGGGCTACTGAGATTGAATTTGTCTAAAAGAGAAACAGAGCTTATACAAATGTGATCCCAGCACTTGGGATCACACCTGGCCTTGAATTCCAGCACTAGGCTGGCAGAGAGAGGAATATAAGGTGGGAGGAGATAGGAGCTCAGAGCATTTGGTCTGAGGATTCGTGGAGACAGGATCTTGCTCACTTCGGTTTGAGGGTTTGGTAGAGGTAAAAGGTCTCTCTCATGAAAGGCTCCTTTACTTCTCTGATTTTTCAGCATTTACCCCATATATGACTCCAGGTTTTTATTATTGAGACCAGTTAGAATTCGTGGTACACCAGACTCAATAGTGAGTTCCAGGACAGCCAGAGATACATAGTGACATTCTGGCTCAACAAACAAGCACAAAAACAAAACAAAACGAATTCTTAAAAAAAGAGATCAATCTGATCTACACAAAATCCCCAACCAAAACAGAACATTACTTTAAGCAACACAATACAATGTAGACACTCAACAATAAAATGCTCATGTTATTTTATAGCTGATAAAATTTAATAGACACACAAAGGACTGAAAGGCCAGGGCTGGAGTGATGGTTCAGTGGTTAAGAATCTGAGTGTGGTTCCCAGTACCCACACAGTGAGTCATAATGTGTCTGATTCTAGTTCTGGGGGATCTGACGCCCTCCTCTGATCTCATCAGGCACCAGACATGTGGTACACATTCATACACACAGGCAAACACTCATACACATGAAATAAAAATAAATTATTAAAAAATCCAAAATATCAATAGGAACAGAGAAAATTAAACAAACCCAGAAATAACAGAGACAATGAGTTAGCAGAAAATGATGTTGAAACAGCCCTGTTTCAGAGTTTAAAGGGTGACAAAACCATACTTAGCATGTATGAGGTTCTTGATTTACTCTCTAGAACCAAATTCAAAACAAATCCAGCCAAACAAAAACCAAGATGAAAGCAAAATAATTTAAAAGAAATTAATACAATGAGAGCCCAAGGCAAAAATCAGAGAATTTAAATAAAAACTAAGTGGAAAATGCAGAGATTGTCTGGGTGATGGTGGTACACGCCTTTAATCCCAGCACCAGGGAGGCAGAGGGAGGTGGATCTCTGTGAGTTCGAGGCCACCCTGGTTCACAAGAGCTAGTTCCAGGGCAGGCTCCAAAGCTACACAGAGAAGATCTCTCTCTCTCTCTCTCTCTCTCTCTCTCTCTCTCTCTCTCTCTCAAAGACACAATGTGTTATAGCTGGGGATATAGCTCAGATGGTGGAGTGTTTGCCCATTATACACAAAAACCTGGGTTTGATTCCAGCACTAAATATACCGGGCATGGTGGCACGTACTTGTAACTCCATCACTTGGATAGAGGCAGGCAGATCAAAACTTCAAGGTCATCCTTGGCTGTGTAGTGAGTTTGAGGTCAGTCTGAGCTACGTAGTGATAACATATCTTGGAAAAAAGAAAGAAAATAAATAGAATGCTTGAAAATTAATAATTCACTCACTAGATCAACTAATAGCACATTAGACTATAAAAGAAAAAAGTGAATTTGAAGACAATAGACACCATTAAACTAAGGCACAGGGAATAAAAGACTAAAAATTTATACATAGACTCAGTGGGCTGTGAAATAATATCCATGGTATGATACACATGTAATTAGAGCTGGGGAAATGACTCAGAGGTTAAGAGAACTGACTGTTCTTCCAGAGGTCCTGAGTTCTATTCCCAGCAACGACATGGTGGCTGACAACCATTTGTAATGAGGTCTGGTGCCCTCTTCTGGCCTGCAGTCATACAAGCAGACAGAATACAGTACACATAATAAATAAGTACATATTTTTTTTTTTTAAAAGAAAAGTTTAGGGCCTGGTGTGGTGTACTCACATTTAATCTCAGCACTCAGAGACCAGCAGTGGGCAGATCTCTGAGTTTGAGGCCAGCATGGTTCACATAGCAAGTTCCCAGGACAGCCAAGCTTAGGCAGTGATGGAAAGCATGGAAAACAGAGAGATGGTGAAGATGCAATTAAACAAGAGGGCCATGATCCAGCCCCAGAAAGCAGCAGATCTTGGCAACTTCAGCTACATGGTTCTGGCTTTAAGTACAGAAAAAAGGGATTATGGGATATTCCTCCATGACTAAGGAAAGCCACTGAGGCCAGTGAGCATGTGTCAATGGTGTCCCTCAAGAGGCCATTGTGTGAAGTAGTGAAGGTGAAGTCTGGATTGCCATGGAGAAGCTAGTGTGAGATGCCAGAGGTGTGGGATGCCTCCTGAGGAAGGCTGTTAACAGGGAGTAGAACCAGTTCAAGAGAAAGAAGTATGTTGCAGTCAACAAACCTGAAAGGAGTTGGGAGTTCCGAAGAGTGCTTTGATATTAGATACGAAGACACAGAGTTTGGAGTTTGCCCAGCTAGTTTTAGGTCTTGCTTTGGTTCAGTATTTCCTCACTATGCTCCCTTCCCTGTGTTTTGGAATGGTGATGCATATCTTGTGCCATTATATCTTGGAAGAATGTGATCTGATTTTCGATTTTATAAGGAATTACAGTTAAGAGATTGTACGAGTCTCAGAAGAGACTTTGAACTTTGGACTTTAAAACATGGTTGAGACTGTGGATAGACTATGGAGACTTTTGAAGTGGACTAAACGCATTTTGTATTATGATATTGTTGCAAACTCCTGGGGGTCAAAGAGTGGAATGTGGTAGTTTGAATGTAATTGACCCCCATAAGCTCATAGAAAATAGTACTATTGGGAAGTGTGGCTTCGTTGGAGTAGGTATGGCCTTGTGGAGGAAATGCGTCATTGTGGAGGCGGGGTTTGAGGTCCCATATATGCTCAAGCCACACCCAATCATTCAGTTCACTTCTTGTTGCCTGCTGATCAAAATGTAGGACTCTCAGCTCTAGCACCATGTCTTCTGCATGCTGCCATGTTCCACTAGGATGATAATGGACTGAACTTCTGAAACTGTAGGTGAGTCCCCTCAATTAAATGTTTTTCTTTATAAGAGTAGGCATGGTTGGGGCTGGGAAGATGGCTGAGTGGCTAAGAGCACTGACTGCTTTTCCAGAGGACCCAGGTTCAATTCCCAGCACCCACATGGCAGCTCATGACTGC